TCTTTTATTGGGTATTACATGTTCTCCTCAAACTCTGCCTCTCTGTCATTGTTTACAACTTATGGAGGGAGAGAAACAATAGGATCTTTAACAATCTGGTTACATCCCAACAAAGTTTGATTTTCAGGATTTAGACAACTATCAGAGAAAGAATTTCTCTACTTAAGTTCAAGGCCAATCCTTAGAATCCGCTCTTAGTGCATCATCGGAATCTCTCATCTGATTGTCTTGTTTGAGAGTTTTTGTGCTTTGCTATTGCCTAGGGATGGGATTAGAGAAATTGGTGAAAATGTGAAGGACTTATTTCGGAATTCGGAATGAGGGCAATTCGAGAAATAAAGTCATTTGCTCTACTTCTATCTTAATGCCTTCTTTGGCTTTGCCCTCTTTGTGGTGTTCTGATCATGGCTTGATTGCAAGCTTTCTTGTGTGCATTTGCACCTTTTTTGTCTTAACACAAGTTTACATTTCGAAAAAAAAAGTTTACTTGTATATGTACTTGCTAAAGTAAGAGTGTCAACCAACTGGTTGATAAAATGCTCAGCTTTGGCCGATGTAATCGAAATCTGCTCTATTTTCACCATAAAACTTTGTAAGTTGTAACTCTTCCCTATTCCCTCTTTTGATTGGTTGGAATTTGGAATTTTTTTTCATAAAAACAAATATGTAAGCTAGTTTTTTTTTTTATTGTTTTTTTGAGCAAAAGCTTTTATTATTTACTACCGTGACATTGTATTGGATTATGGTTAATTTGCTCTTGAAATTTTTTTTGAGAAGCAACAATAAGAATTTATTACTAAGGAATATCATCAACGAGGAGAGACATAACAAAGTCTGGTGTCTGCTCCAATCATACAGCACTACTATTTACAGGTCAAACAAAACTAACTAACTCATGAGCTATTTTATTCCCATTGCATCGAACTTCAGACACTTCAAAGTAACGAAAACTCCTCGCTATGCTACTAATATCATGTAGGATGGCTTCAAGAGGATCAAAATCTTTGTCCCCATTCCTTATAGATTGCATAACACCTATCGAATCCCCTTCCAAAATAACTTCTGCTAATTCTTGCTACCTTGTGAATTGGATCGCCATATTTGCTGCAATAGTTTATGTTTTTCGAATATCACAACTCATAGCAAACCTTTTGGACAAGGCCCCTACAAAGTAACCCCGATCATCTCATATGACTACCCCCACTCCTGAGACATTCTGCTCTGTGAAAACAATGGCATCGAAGTTAACTTTAAAAGTACCTACCCTTGGAGGACACCAGCCAACGTTGGGAGTTTGCTCGGCAAGGGGTTGAGCTGCTACCTCCCTATACTGACAAAAATATTCAGCTGCCCTCGTCTGCATTTCAATAGGGTCTTAGACCATGCTTTCAAAAATTCTAACATTCCTATTTCTCCACACAAACCAACACTGAAAAAAGGAATAAAGAGAACTCATCATTTGTAAGAACCTGATGGACTTCAAGAAGCCACTGCCCAGGGTTCAACGGCATAATCTAACATACTACCTTTAAAGAGCTGCATCCCCATACTACCTTGGCCTAAGTGCAGTCCCTTAGGCAATGTAACACCGACTTCTCTTCTTCTTGACACACATCACAAATCCCATTCACCATAACTCCCCATCTCTGTAGATTGTCCCCTGTGGGTAGCCCGTTGGAGTAGACCCGCCAGACAAAAATCTTAATTTTATTTGGAATTTTCTGATTCCAAGTAAAATTCCAGCTCAAATGTCCAACACTAGAGGAGGAAGATGAATTGGTTGGGCTTGTATGCAATAAATTTTGATCCTTAATGATGTGATATGCACTCCGAACCAAAGACCTCCCATCTGAATTATAATGCCAAATCAGTCTATCCTCCATTGGAAATCTGCTAAGTGGAATACCTTTGATCACTAACGCCTCATGAGGCATGAAAATATCATCCACCAGCTGCTCATTCCAACTTCGCGTTTGCTCGTTAATTAATTCCCCAACCTTAGTCAGATTATGTAGACCCATTCTAGGAGAGACTGGCTTGAAGCTTATAGGGGTAGGTATCCATCTATCCAACCAGATATTAACTTTGGCTCCATCACCTATACGCCATCTTGAACCTGCTTCCACCACTTTTCTTGCTCCTAAAATGTTTCTCCATGTGTAAGAGGGTCTCTGTCCAATCTCTGCCTCCATGAAAGATGTCAAAGGGGAATACCTTTCCATAAGCACTTGATGAAAAAGTGAATTAGCCTCTGTATTTATTCTCCAAGCCTATTTCGCCAGCATCACCAAATTAAACGCCTTAAGATCTCTAAAACCCATCCCACCATTCTCTTTCCTTGTACACATCTTCCTCCAACTAACCCAATGTATTTTCCTCTCCCCTTGTCTTTGTCCCCACCAAAATCTGGCAACTAGAGTTTCTAATTCGTGTCAAAAGTTATCCAAAAGTTTAAAACATCCCATAGCGTATGTAGGAATGGATTGCACCACCCTTGCATTTTATTCCACACCCTTTCCATTAAATTGTTGAAAACTTCTCTTTTTGATTTACCCACCACCGTAGGGAGGCCCATATGTTTATCGTGTTGGTAAACCCGTTCTACCCCCAAAATTTGCTGAACTTGGCTGACCTGAACCTCCGAAGAGTTGTTGTTGAAAACCACTGCAAACTTCTCCATATTGATTTTTTGTCCTAAAGCAGCTTCGTAAACACCAAGAATTGATTTAACAACACCAGCCTCCTCTTGTGTTGCATTAAAAAATAATAATTGTTATCAGCTACTAGAAGATGATAGATATGTGGTCCGCCCCTACCCATCGAGATTCCTGTGATCGAACCATTCAGCTTTGCATTGCATAGGAGTGCTGTTAAACCTTCTGCACATATTAGAAACAAATAAGGTGACAAGGGGTCTCCTTATTTGATCATTATTCAGCAAAATTGAATGCGAAATAGTTGTAACGCATAACAACACCAACTCAATCCATTTATGATCAAAACCCAGAGTAGTCATAATTTTTTCCAAGAACACCCACTCCACCCTATCGTAAGTTTTGCTCATATCCAATTTTAAAGATGTGTGTCCCGTTTTACCCCAACTCTTACACTTTAGGAAATGATTAATTTCAAAAGCAATCAAAACATTGTCGGTGATCAACCTTCTAGGAAGAAAGGCACTTTGGGACTCAGAAATAATCGAGGGAAGAATATACTTTAAACGATTAGCTAGAATTTTTGAAATAATTTTATAAGTAACAATACACAAGCTGATTGGATGAAACTCATGCATAGAATCCGCATTTTCACACTTAGGAATGAGAACAATATGAGTATAATTGAACTTAACTGGAAATTGACCACCATTGAGAAAACTAAAAACACAATTTGCAACATCCGTCCCGACTATATGCAAGTATTTTTGGAAAAAAAAGAGGAGGCATTCCATCTGGGCTGGGAGATTTATTAGGAAACATCTAGGATAAAGCAGTTGTTACCTCATCAATTCAAAAAGTCTGCAGTAGCCTTGAATTCATTTCTTCCGACACCCTACAATCCACCTTGCTCAGAAAAGCCTCTAACTCTTGCGTCTGTGGTCTGCTTGACGTAAATAGGTTTTTAAAATACAAGACAATCACTTGTTCCATTTTTGTCGAGTTTTCACACCAGCCCCCTTCACCGTTCTTGAGCTTTACAATTGTGCTTCTTCTACGCCGTTGGGATGCCCAAGCATGGAAAAAAGTTGTATTCTTATCCTCCTCCTTCATCCAATGGGCTTTCGACAGTTGACGCCAAGAAGACTCCTCCATATCAAGTAAATTATTCAATTTCGTAGCCACAGCTCGAGCTTGTTGCCTCTTTCCTTCAAAAATGCTAACTTACCTTTCAAAGCTTCTATCTTATTTGGAATACGCCCCACGTTCACCTGTTTCCACTTAAGTAGCTCCACCCTACAATTTTGTATTTTCTTTGTGAACCCATGAACCCCTCTGAAAGGTATTCACTAGAATTCCAAGCCTCCTCAATAACCTCCTCACATCCCTCTCTCTTCACCCATGCTGCTTCGAATTGGAATAATCTTTTCTTTGCAAGCCACACTTGAGTTGGTAGCCCTAAATTACTATCTAGAAGAATTTTGTAGTGATCTGATTCCTTCGAGAATTTATGACAAACTCTTGAAATAGGGAATCTCGTCACCCATGCCATATTTGCGCACACTTTGTCGAGTCTCTCCCATACTGTATTAGGTTTCTTCCAGTGGTTACACCAAGTAAAGGGGAATCCTTCATACCCCAAATCCATCAATGCACATTTATCAAGAGCTTGACGAAAATTTCTCATTTGTCATTCCGCCCTTCTTCCTCTCCCCTTCTTTTCGTTTTGTGAAAATATTTGATTAAAGTCCCCAGCACATACCCAAGGGAGATTACTTCGACTACTCAGTTGGTCTAGCAACGCCCAAGTAACTTTACGCTTCGACAATTCTAGTTCCCCATAAATTCCCGTCAACTTCCACTGTCCAAGTACTCCCATCTCGTAAACCAGTACATAAATATGACCACGAGAGTATCTTTGAAGAACTACATTCAACTCCTTCTGCCAAAGCAACACTAAACCCCCCAGAGGTTCCTTGCGACTCTACAGCTACACCACATAATCCGAAACTCATTTTCAAAAAATCAATTTTCCTAGAATTACACTTCGTCTCCAACAAGAAGATAAAATCAGGCCGCTCTTTCTTTATGAATTCACACAGATCCTGAATTGTCCGAGGATGCCCTAGTCCCCAGTAGTTCCAACTAAGGAGTTTCATGGCGATCGGTGGGACTGGATCCCAGTTCCCACCGTTACTTCTTGAATTTCTACCATAGCTAAATCCCTTTGATCAGGACTTACCCTAACTTTCTTCTTTGCACTCCCACCCGAAATTGAACCCAAGGCCTATTTGCCTTCGCCTTGCTTTCGTTTTCCAATGGAATCCTCCTAGGGCTTTGTTCGAGCTAGAGGTAAAGACCCCTTCTCCCTTCTTCTCCATTTCTTCGTAACTTACGGTTCTTGATTACAGACATTTCCCTCAGTTGTCTCTGTTTCCCCTAATTTAGGTGAGATTCTGGGCTGGGCTAGAAAAGATATGGGGGTATCCAAAAAATCTTCCAAAGCCCACTGGGCCACCTTATCACATACTGGTCCAAACTGGCTATTCCATTCCTCCAAAACGCCCCCCATTCCATCCACTGAATTCGGACCTTTAAATCCACCTCGAGAATCTTCCAAAACATTTCTCACCTCCATTGGGATATCAACCTCAATAATTACATCAGGATAGCCTTTATTCACCAGAATTGTATTCTTAATTTTCTGAAGCTTTCCTTCCACGTTTACCTCAGTTTCCCTTAATAAAGGATTTGGCTTGTTTATTAAAGGCTCTTTTGGTTCCCCAATCAATTATCTTTCCATGTTCGGGTTCCCCCTAATGCACTCTTTTGTAGAAATTCCTTCAACTCTGGTTAATAATCCATTCACTGTTGTCCCAATTTTGTGAGATTGCTCCACTGATTCTAGTCCATTCTCCAGAGAAACGTTGTTGTTCTTCACTACCAGCAATTTGGGCGCAATTTGGGCCAACAAATCTAAATTCAGCTCAAACCTAACCGGGGAAAAACAGAGCTTTGGTTGAGATTTTTAATACCTATGTTGGACCTAGGCAAAAAAATACCAACCCGAATTGAATTCGGGTAATACTTGAGTTGAGACCTCAGGTTATCGGGTTCAATCCGAATATATAAATTAGGCTTAACTCAAATTCTAAATCAGGCTTAACCTAAATTTCAAATCGGGTTCAATCCAAATATATAAATCGGGCTCAACCCGAATATATTTAAAACTACATATATAAATCAATATGGCGATATAACTTACAAGTTAAAACACTATGGATCAATCTTTTGGTTTAGTCTTATGTTAAACATTTGGCCATTATGTTTTTATGTTAAACATTTGATTGAAGTTATTGGTTGTTACTTTAAGTCAATACTATGTAGTATGTATCAGGTTTAAAACAATATGTTGATTTCGGGCTTGAATGAACCCAACTCAAATTCTAACCCGAAATCAGCCCGAATTACGTAACCTGAACCAAATTCTAATCTGAAATCTATCTGAATTACGTAACATGAATTTAACCAGAGTCTACCCTAATTAAATTTGGGCAATACTTGAGTTGAGTAGCTCGGGTTGAGGTCGGGTTAAAGTTAGGGTTAGAGTTGAGAAGTATACACTTATGGTTGGACTAAAGTTGACCCCTCAACCTGCCTGAGTTGCAGCTCTAGTATAAAGAGTCCAATTCAACTTGAGCAGTAAATATTGAATATAACGGTGATACCATGTATTGTTGATGTGGTATCACCAATCAATAATAAAATATCAAGTGGACAAAGTGAACCTCACTTAAATAGTTATTTACTTACATAGAGGATTGTTTTTTAATTTTGTAGGACCCATTTACTTATTTATTTTGATATTATTAATTGATAATACCATGTCAACATTGTCACATGGTATCACCGTTGTAATGAATATTTTCCCCAACTTGAGACTATTAGGCTCTGATCAATTTGTTTGACGATGTTCTTTTTGTGCAGGTTTCCTACTAGGGGAACTTACTCTACTAGCTTGTAATTCATTGCCAGATATAATATTTTATTGGACAAGGAGAAACTAGAAGTGGCAAACATGGTAGCGTGAAAGTGAACCAAAGTGCTACACTTAGACAAGGATGGCGGCATAGAGTTATTTGCGGTCGGGTTGTCAATGGATCAGATCTAGATTGGATCTTGATTTGTCCAGATTCAAACTTGATGAAAAAAATCGTGTTCCACCCAATAAATTTTAAAATCTTAATTCATATTCGCATCCGTTAATAATCGAATATCTGATCCAATCTAAAAATTTGAATTCCAAGAAAATTTTATGAAAAAATTAATAATTTTACCAAATTGAAGTTAACTTCAACCTAATTTAGTCAGTCAATGATTCTATTCAATAATTTTTGTTTCATTTCATATCAATCTTATTAATAATCTAACTAAGTATATATGTTTATACAATAATTTTTCTCAATTAAATATGTATGTATATATGCATATATGTATACATGTATCCGAATCGAATTTTTATCAGATCAAATTTATATGTATCCAAATCCATTTGAAAAAACTTAATCAGATTTGGATCGAATTTAGATAAATAGATTAAAATATTAATCCATATCTAGTTAGATGGACTGTAATTCGAATTAAATTTCACTCCATTTCCAGGCCTACTTGTGGGGCAGGCTCGAGTCGAACAAACGCAATTCATGTATGGTGACCATTGTTCTTTTCTTTCATGAAATCAGTCAAAGATTAAAATTTTATTTCGATGCAATATTTCGGTCACCTAAGAAACAAAAATGTTTCAAAAATATTTTAAAAACATTTCGAAAACAATAGAAAAATGAATAAAAAATTGTGTTTGGTAACATTTTTTTGTTTTATGTTTGTGGTACAAAAATTGAAACATAAACTTGTTTAGCTGTAGTTTTTGTTTAAAAAATTATGAAAACAAAAACAAAAAATATGTTTGATAACTAATTTAATTTTTGTAATATTTTGTAGGTTTATATTTGATGGTGTATTTCAACATGGATGAGCCAAAGGTGCAAGTAACGTGAGATGAGCGTGGATCAGAGCTTCAAGGCTCGTATATGATGATGCAATCAAATATTGAGGGGATTACAAGGGTGTACATAGTAAAAATATAGTGGTTCACCGGCTCAGAAGCTCGGCTAGTCCACTCTTCAATGGAGGCTATGACTCTTTTTTCTTTATTGATCATACCAAAGGTTTATAGAATAGGTTTTTGGTCATTCGGTCATCTTCCCCATTAGGGGGTGCTACCTTGCATTTATAAGGTCATTCCTTGCTCAGAAGAATCTTAGCCGAGATTCTTGCCCTTATTTCGTGATCTTCTCCTTAATTCTAGGAGAAGATCTTGGTTGGTTAAAATTGGGTGCCTTTATTACAGCTTTCTAACGCTGTAGGATCCTCTCGTGGTTATCCAGCTGTTATCTTGCCTTAAGAGACACTTGGCCCTTACTCTCTGACCTCTCCTAATGTGCCTGACCTCCTGGTCTGAGCTGACCTCCTGAGCTTAGCACTTGAAATTTCTTTTAGGTATCATCAGTTGCCCCCCAACTCTTGGCCGAGCTAGCTTGGGCAAGGGCTGAACTTAGGATGTAACAGTAATGACTTCCTAATCTGCGACTTCAAATGTGCTCTAACTGTGCGTTTTTACTTTAGTCTTCCCTTGTCCCCCTTGCTTTAAGGAGTGCTGAGCTCTTCCTAAAGCAGGAATGCTTTGGGAGTTTCATACTTGAGCTTATTAGACGAGAGTAACTGGTAAATCTCATCACCATCTGCTCCCTGCGTTTCATGCTGGCTTTGGCGATTTTGTAGGTTTATGCAGGACGTTGGACTTGTAGACCTCATGGTTCTACAACTTCTTCTAAAAGAGTTTTTCTTCTTAAACTCCCCACCGTAGGTGGCTGAGCTCGTTGTGATGAACTTAGGAGTTCATCGAGAGCTACTAAGCTCATTTTTATGAACTTAAGGGTCCATTGTGAGCTCTAGGGCTCTTATTATGAGTTCCTCGTGAGTTTCAAGGCTCTTTTTAGGAACTAACGAGTTCATCGTGAGCTCTAAGGCTCTTATTATAGACTAATGAGTTCGTCGTGATTACGAACTAATGAGTTTGTCGTGAGCTCTAGGGCTCTTATTACGAACTAATGAGTTTATCGTGAGCTCTAGGGCTCTTTTTTATGAACTGATGAGTTCATACTGAGCTCTAAGGCTCTTTTATGAACTAATGAGTTCATACTAAGCTCTAGGGCTCTTTTTATGAATCGATGAGTTCATCGTGAGCTCTAAAGCTCTTTTTATAAACTAATGAGTTCATACTGAGCTCTAAGGCTCTTTTTTTTTTTTTGCGTGCTCATAAGGAAAGATGAATCACAGACTTGCTTCTTTATTAATAATCATATTACAGGACAAAATTTTGTACCTCATACAAGATTTGTGATATTGTTGCGGTGAGTGGAGGGACCTATCGAGATGCTTACCTCGGCTGCAACTCTGGATGAGGTGGTCCCAAGTGATCTCTGACGTCTCCCCTTCTTTTGGGGGTTCGATTTCTGTCTCTCCTTGGGGACATATCTCGTCCTCTTTCTCTTCTGGGACTTCGGTCCCTCTCTTTTTTCGGTCTTCTTTCCCTTTCTCCTTTCCCGATGAAGAGCTCCCGACCTTGGAGAGGAGCGTTTCCTCACCCTTTATGTACTTTTCTGCTTTGACGAGCACCTCCGCCATACTAGCCTAGGGGTTTTTTGAGGTGGAAAACATCAAGTCTTTTGACTGAACCCCCAGACCTGCTACGAAGGCTGTAATAGCAAATTTTTCATCTGGGACATCCACTTTCAAGGATTATGAGTTGAATTGTTGGACATAAGACCGTAGGTTCTCATCAAGTCCCTGTTTCACATTTAACAAATGGTAGCTCGGTTTCTTATAGGTCCGAGCTCCAATGAAGTGGGACACAAACGAGATTAACAACTCTTTAAAAGAGGAATTCGAGGCTGGGGAGAGTCTGTTGAACCATGCTAAGGCTGAGCCCTTCAGGGTGATAGCAAAAGCCCTGCATCTCACTGGATCTTGATATCCATGCAACTCCATTTGATTTTTGTAGGTGTTGAGGTGGTCCACGGGATCTTTTGTCCCATCAAAAGCATCCACCTGCAGCATTCTGAATTTATATGGGAGAGGGAAATACAGCACCCCAGCAATGAATGGGGATTCGGTTTGCTGCTCCAAGGCATCCATAGTGACTAGGGCCTTGCTCTTCACTGCCTCCTTCATCTGGCTGAGCTCTTACTGGATGTTTTTGAAACGTTGCTCCTAGGGGTGTTCTCTTCTCTCATGTTGATAAAGGAAGAAGTCGTTCCTCTCTCCTTTCTTATACTGACTTTGCACTTCCTCGTTGTGACCATTCTTAGGGGGTAGGCGAGGTTCTTGCCCCAAGGTCTGGCTATTCTCTCTCACCTCATTAACTTCTCTGAGGGGGTTAAGATGGGTTGCTCTCTTGGTGGTGGGTTATTCTGGCCTCCTTGGGCCGGTCGTGCCTCCGATGGGCATTGTAGGAGCTTTAAGAGCTCTTCGTTCTGTTTTATCAGACGTTCATTGACAAGACGAAGGGTCTCCATC